TGAACAGGAATGGCTTGGCATTCATCATCACAAAGGATGTTTCAAGATCTGTCCTGAGGTACAATGCTGTCGGTGATAGGATAATATCCATAGCCTACAATCAAGACCAGTTAATACTGCTATTATTCAAATTTACACACCAACCACCATAGCCAAAGATGAAGTAATTGAAGATTTTTAATCAACTTCTGCAGTCTGAAATTGACTGGACATGTAATCAAGATGTATTGATTATCACTGGTGACTGGAATGCAAAAGTTGGAAACAAAGAAAAATCACCAGTAGTTGGAAAATTTGGCCTTGGTGACAAAAATAATACTGGCGATTGCATGATAGAACTCTGCAAGACCAACAACTTACTCATTGCAAATAGCATTTTTCAACAACACAAACAGTGGCTATACACATGGACATTACCAGATAGAGTACACATGAATCAGATTGACTACATCTGTGGCAAGAGGTGATGGAAAAGCTCAATATCTTTACCCAAAACAAGGCCAGGAGCTGATTGTGGAACAGACCATCAACTGCTCACATGCAAGTTCAACTTGAAGTTGAAGACAAAACAAGTCCACGAAAGCCAAAATATGATCAGGAATATCTCCCTCCTGATTTTAGAGACCATCTAAAGAAAATACGTGATGCATTGAACACCAATGACGAAAAACCAGAAGAATTACAGGATGCTATCAAGAACATCATCCATGAAGAAAGCAAGAGGTCATTAAAAATATGAAGAAGAAAAGACCAAAATGGATGTCAGAAAAGACTCTGAAACTTGCCCTTGAGTGAAGAGTAGGTAAAGCAAAGAGAAAAATGGACAAGATAAAAGAGCTGAACAGAAGATTTCAAAGAGCGGCTCGGGCAGACAAAGTCAATTACTATAATGGAATGTGCAAAGACCTGGAGTTAGGAAACCAAAAGGAAGAACATGCTCAGCATTTCTCAAGCTGAAATAACTGAGGTAAAAACATAAGCCTCAAGTTAAAATATTGAAAGATTTTATGGGTGAAATATTGAATGATGCAGGAAACATCAAAAGAAGATGGAAGGAATACACAGAGTCACTGTACCAAAAAGAACTGGTAGATCTTCCTCCATTTCAGGAGGTGACATATGTTCAAGAACCAATGATGATGAAGGAAAAAGTCCAAGCTGAAGAAATTGGTGTAGAACAAGGCTCCAGGAATTGATAGAATACCCATTGATATGTTTCAACAAATGGATGCCCTGCTGGAGGCACTCACTTGGCTATGCCAAGTGATTTGGAAGACAGCTATCTGGGCAACTGACCATATGAAGAGATCCATATTTGTACCCATTCCAAAGCAAGGTGATCCCACAGAATGTGGAGATTATCCAACAATATAATTAATATTGCATGCAAGTAAAATATTACTGAAGATAATTCAAAAATGGTTGCAGCAGTATATTGACAGAGAACTTCCAAAAGTGCAAGCTGGATTCAGAAGAGGATGTGGAACAAGGGATTTCATTGCTGATGTCAGACAGATCTTGGCTCAAAGCAAAGAATACCAGAAAGATGTTTACTTGTATTTTATTGACTATGCCAAAGCATTTGATTGTGTGGATCCTAACAAATTGTGGATAACATTGAGAAGAATGGGAATTCCAGAACACTTGATTGTACTCATAAGGAACCTGTACATAGACCAGGAGACTGTCATTTGAACAGAACAAGGGGACACTGCATGTTTTAAAATTAAGAAGGGACTGTGTCAGGGTGTATCTTTCACCATACTTAATCTGTATGCTGAGCAAATAACCCAAGAAGTTGGACTATATGAAGAAGAACATGGCATCAGAATTGGAAGAAGAATCATTAACAACCTGCGATATGCTGATGACACAACTTTGCTTGCTGAAAGCGAGGATGACTTGAAGCACTTATTGATGAACGTTGAAGAATATAGTCTGCAGTATGGATTACATCTCAATATGAAGAAAACAAAAATCCTCACAACTGATCCAATAAACAGCATCACAATAAATGGAGAAAAGATTGAAGTTGTCAAAGACTTCACATTGCTTGGTTCTACAATCAATGCTAATGGAAGCAGCAGTCAGGACATCAGACAATGTACAGCACTGGGCAAATCAGCTGCAAAGCAACTCTTTCAAGTGCTGAAGATCAAGGATGTCTCCTTGAGTACTAAGGTGTGCCTGACACAAGCCATGGTATTTTCAATCGCCTCATATGCTGTGAGAGCTGGACAATGAATAAGGAAGATGGAAGAAGAATCGATGCTTTTTGAGTTGTGGTGCTGGCAAAGAATACTGAAAGTACTATGGACTGTTAAAAGAACTAACAAATCTGTCTTGGAAGAAGTGCAGCCAGAATGCTCCTTGGAAGCAAGAAAAGCCAAACTTCATCTTATATACTTTGGTCATGTTGACAGAAGGGACCATTCCCTGGAGAAGGATGTCATGCAGTAAGGTGGAGAGTCGATGAATGAGGGGAAGGCCCTCAAAGAGATGGATTGACACAATGGCAGTGGTGATGGGCTCAAGTATAGCAAGGATAGTGGAGCTGGTGTGGGACCAGGCAGTGTTCTGTTCTCCTGTGCGTAGGGTCACTATGGAGTTGGAGACAACTCGATAGCATCTAACAACAACAACAACCCTTAAAAGCAATCACTGAGGTTTGAATGGGCCAATTAATTGCCCTTCTCCCTATGGGATGTTAACGAATATGATAGGAATGGTAATATCAAGAGATGCATATTGAATTACCAGCTTTATTCCAAGTAAACCAGGAATGGAGAATGCAGCTGAGATTTAATTGCTAAGTCAGGCTTCCTACTTAAGGTGTCCCTGGGATTTGGTTGATCTGCCCACCTTGGGGCAACAGGAACTGAGCTTGAGGTGGCAGGATTTCTGCATAGAAAACAACTGTTAGGCATTAATCCTTAATAGCTTTTCAACAAAATTGAGGAATATAGAACAATGATGTCACCAGGTGGTAAAAATGGCTTGCATTAGACTGCTAACATAAAGGTTGGTGGTTCAAATCCATCCAATAGTACTGTGAAAAAGGCCTGCCTTTCTTGTGATCTGTTCCTGTTAATATTACAGCTAAGAAAACCCTACAGAGCACAGTTCTTTGTAACACATAGGGTTGCCATGGGTGAGTATCAACTTGATGGCAACTAACAACATGTCACACTCTCAGGATCTCACCACTCAGAAGGTCTAGTTAGTGGTAGGTCTAGTTAGTGATGTCTTTAATAGTACTGAAAGGGTTAAAGTCCTTATTTAATGTACTACAGGAGAAAGGATAAGGAGCTTTGATGGTACAGTGGTTAAGGCATTTGGCTGCTAACCAAAAGGTTGGTAGCTAGAACCCATCAGCTGCTCTGCATGAAAAAGATGAGGCAATCTGCTTCCATAAAGATTTACAGCCTTGGAAAGGTCACTATGAGTCAGAATCGACTCAATGGCAGTGAGTTTGGGTTTTTTTGTTTGCTTTTAAGGAGAGAAGATAGTCCTTCCCAGAAAGTGTCACAGGACAGATCAATCTTAACTAAACTTAAACCCAGAGTCCGAGGACCTCAAATATCTCAGTTCAGAGAATTCATTTTCATGGATGGGGTCTATAAAAGTAAAAGAGTATGACTTTCCTTTTTTTTTTTTTTTTTTCACTAACATTCATCATTTCATCACGTTGATGGCTAGATCAATAAATACTTCAACACTAAGGACAAAGGTGTTAATATCATTGAGGCTTAATAATAAAGGAATCATCAACTTGACACCTAGGTGTGAGTGCTCTGATGGCAAGAATATCAACCCTTGAGTTACTATGGGTTATAAAAGATTCATTTTTTCCTGCAAATATATGAGTGCTCTGGACCATGTCATCTGAACCCGGGTAAATCTGTAATTGCACATCTTGATGACAGTAAAGATCAGTGACCTGAATGCATCTAAAACTTATGCTGCGTGTACAGAGGGGTTTGTGCCAGCCATGCCCGATTCTGCATGCTTGGACCTTTCTGACATCCCTTCCAGCCCTTGGAGTTTATGATCCAGATGATGCCTCCATTGGAACTGACCTAAAAAAGAATCCATTGCTGGGCACTGACCCATATTTTATTAACCCATAATTAGATTTATTTCACTCTGGCTTAATTTATTTCAGGCCTGTGGGTTTGCATTCTTTTTCATTACTAAGTGTGCTCCGTGAAGTTGTGATGTATTTCATTTGACCAGTCTATGAATTAAATAATGGCAAGGAAGAAGAAAATAAAAGAGAAACACAGTCTGGAGGCAACAGTGTAAAACAAATATATCATACTTTTACAGAATTATTTTCTTGATAAGTTGAGATGGTCTTCTTAAAACTAACATTCTTTATAGATGCTCTGAGCCTAAGATGACCTTGCAATGGTCAAGAGTGTCCTAGTCCGGTGCTTCTTAGACTTTAATGTGCACATGAATCATGATTCAGTCTCAGATTCTGCATTTCTAACAAGTTCCCAGGTGATGCTAATGCGTGAATAGCAGAGAAAAAGCTAATGTGTGTCTGACATGGTCTTTTTAATAGCCTCACATGCATGGGAAAGCTGGACAGTGAAAAAGGAAGATAAAAGGAGAACTGATACATTTCACTTGTGGTATTGGAGGAGAATATCGAGAATACCATGGAATGGAAGAAGAATGAACAAACTGGTCTTGGAGAAAGTACAGCCAGAATGTCTCTTAGAGGTTAAGATGGAGAGGCTTTGTCTTGCTTACTTTGAACACATCATCAGGAAAGATCAATTGCTAGAAAGGAACATCATGTTTGGTAAAGTGGAGGGTCCACAAAAAAGAAGGAAACCCTCCATGAGATAAATTGACATGGTGCCTGCAATAATGGGCTAAAACATACGAATGATTGTGAAGATGGTGCAATACTGGGCAATGTTTTGTTCTATTACACATAAGGTCAACATGAGTCAGAGTGACCTGACAGCAACTAACAATAATAACATGTTACCAAATCAAAACACCAGCTCCCAACTCATCACAATTAATTTTATTCCACAGCATGTTTAAGGGAATGTTATTCTAGAGAAGATGTTTGGGATTAAAATAATTAAAAAAAAAATCCTGGAAAGTATGCACATTTATGTATCTTTTCTTTTCATTAAATATATATCTGTGTGGCAAAAAATGTTAGACTCTTTTGTACAAATACAAAGCAAAAAAAAAAAAAAAACCCAAACCCTTGCAGATTGTAAATACCTGTAATAATTACAATGATGTAAACGTGGATGTCTGACAACTTGCCCATCCTGTGGACCTGTGTTGCAGCAGGAGCCCCCAGGAGAAGGTAACACCAAACCCTTGATAGCAACAGCCCATTATAGAGGCATTTAGGTTTAGTATATTAGAATTGGAGCATGACTGCTAATTTCACCATTTGTGCTTTCAGCTAAAGTACTGGGAGGATGTGAGGAAATGAAGAAGGCAGGTCTGGGCTGGGGCAAGGAGAGGAGACTCAAGACTAGATCGAGGACAGGGAAGGTTGGGCATGGTCACAGTGCAGACACAAGTGGGGATGAAACCTGTATACTATGTGTTTGGGGACCCAATGCTGGTGAGAACTACGATGAGGACTACAGTGGGACCAAAGAGCAACAGAGCAAGGCAAAGGAGGGGAGGGAGGCAGTGAGGGATTTGAAAGCAGATCTCAATTCAAATGGAACTGGCTGTGTGAACTGATTCTAGAGAGGAGGGGAAGGAAGAGGTGGTGTTTGGTCTTCTCATCAAGTTTCTAGGCTGTTTTCTCCTGGGACAGGCCTTAGAGCACTCCCTTGGTCTGGTGGGCAAACCTTGGGCAGTCTATTGCTGCTAGCTTTCCTTCTCCAGGGAGGAGGACACACCTGCCTGTGGGTAATGAGGATGGAAGGGCCCTTTGGCTCTTGTATTAGTGGTGGGATTTTCTCTTTTCCCACCTATGGACTGCAGCCTTGGGAAATGACCTAAAGCAATGGAGCCTAGAAACAGAATCAGGGAAAGGGCTAGAAATTTCTGGGGCTAGTGGTGAAGCCAAAGAAAATGTTGACCCATAGCTTCCCTTTCCCCAAAGAGGATTCCAAGGCATGGGCGTGTTTTCATTCCTGTCTCCCAGAAGATAGATTTTCCAGTTTTGGAGGGGGTGCTTCCAGCCTGGCCACTTTAATTACAGTCATAGACGAAGTCATAGTTGCTCGGTTCCTTGGGTATCGGGGGTGGGGCATCAGGGATCTGAATGTTTTCCAGGTCTAGGAGGCGGAGCTTGATTTCCATGCTGAGCAGGGTGTCCAAGTCATTCCGGGTCAGGTCGCTCATCATGTCTTTCCCCAGCAGCGCATTTAGCCCATCTGTCCAGATACAGTACTGGCAGGAAAGGAAATGGCAATGATAATTATTAATAATAATGATAAAAGTAGTAAATATAGCTAACACTGAATATGCAGGATTGGCCAACCTTTGTGTGAACTGTTTTGTGTACATAATCATTTAATTATCACAATAACTCTATGAAGTTGACACTCCTGACAAATCTCTGTTTTACAGATAAGGAAACTAAGGTGCAGAGAAGATAAATAGTTTGATAGTATGTGGAGTGGACTGAATATCAATCCAGATTATCTGACTCCCTTTCTAGGGCTCTTCTCTGCAAAAAAAAAAATGCTTCCTTATGTGTCAGCAAGGAGCTCTGGTAGCATAGTGCCTAAGGCACTTGACTGCTAACCAGAAGGCTGGCAGTTCAAACCCACTGGCCACTCCTTGGAAGGAAGGTTGGGCAATCCTACTTCTGTAGTGATACTGCCTCCAAAACCCAAGGAGGGGTCACTATGAGTCGGGGCCGACTCAATAGCACATAACAACACAACAACAAGTGTCAGCAAAAGGACTTGAGTTCTCCATGACTGTGCAACATCATCCAACAAGTTCTTCTATGTTCTTACCTCCCCCCCTAGATGTCTCTAATATCCCACTGGTGAGTCCATTATTTTAAGGTATTGGTAGATAATATCCCAACATTCCTAGACTCAACATCAAGTCAAGCTTGCCTCTCTTCGAACTTTAATCACAGCTCTTGGTCCAGTAGTTAATCTCTGCTGTCTTATTGGATTCCCACCATGTGTGGTAATAGCCCTACCCTTGTAGCTCCACCTTTGAAATTCTCAGCAAGAAGGACTAACCTTTTGCTGCCCAATGTCTGGTGGCCATAATAGCTAAACTTATTGGATGAAGTTAATGGGAGGTAGATGTGCTGCTTTCCTGCAAACTCTTCTTCCTGGGTCTCCTGCTCCCGAGGTTTCTCTCAACTAGGTCTCTGTGCCCTGAACCTTGGGGACACTACCAGTTTTGGAAAAATTTACCAGTTTAGGAAAGTACCTGACTCAGAACATGGTTCTTCTCTCATAAAACTTCTTTTCTATCCAGGATATTTTGAACAACCTGAGGAGAGGAATTGTGTCTTTTTTTTCTGAGGATCATTCCTGCTCTTTTTAGCTTCCCTTCCAGAAGCTAGAGTCCTGACCTGACCTGGTAATATAGCCTTGATATCTGATGAAAGAGCTACCCACTGTTGCCAGCATCTCAGAAAACTGAATATCCCTAGTCCTATAGAGGACTTTGATTATAACAATTGCTCTGGTCTTTCTGTCAGACTGGTCTTCCTTATAGGAGTTCCTGACTGGTAAAAATGGCTAATGTGCTCAGTTGGTAACAGAAAGTTTAGAGGTTTGAGTTCACCAGACACACCTTGGAAGAAAGGCCTGGTGATCAACATCTGAAAGATCAGCAATTGAAAACCCTATGGAACACAGTTCTACTCTGAAACACACGGGATTGCCAGGAGTTGGAATTTACTTGATGGCAACAGATTCTTTTGGAGGTCTCTTCCTTCCAGCATGCTCTGTAGATTGCCCTTCTTTCTCACCTCCAGCAGGTTAAGATGCAAGTGTAGACTCAACTTACCCTGTTCTTTGCACTGTGGTTAACATGTTCCAGAAATGAAGTTGTTGTTAGGTGCTGTCGAGTTGCTCTGACTTAGTGACCCTATTAACAAGAGAACAAAACACTGTCTGGTCCTGTGCCAGTCTCACAATCCTTGCTACACCTGAGCCCATCAATGCAGCCACTGTGTCAATTCACCTTGTTGAGGGCCTTCCCCTTTTTCATTGACCATCCACTATATCAAGCATGAAATCCTTCTCCAAGGAATGGTCCCTTCTGACAACATGACCAATGTAGGTGAGACAAAGTCTGGCCATTCTCACTTCCAAGGGGCATTATGGTTGCACTTCTTACAGGACAGATTTGTTAGTTCCGGAAGTCCATGGTACATTCAGTATTCTTTGCCAACACTACAGCTCAAAAGCATCAACTCTTCTTTGGTCTTCCTTATTCATTGCCCAACTCTCACATGCATATGAGGTGGCTGAAAATACCATGCCTTGGGTTAGGGACACTTTAGTCTTCAAAGAGACATCTTTGCTCTTCAGCACTTTAAAGAGTTCTTTTGCAGCAGATTTGCCCAGTGCAATACATCATTTGATATCTTGCTTGCTGCTCCCATTGGTGTTGATTGTAGAATCAAGTTACACAAAATCTTTGACAAAATCAATCTTTTCTCCATTTATCACAATGCTGCTTATTGGACTAGTTGTGAGAATTTTCATTTTCTTTATGTTGAAATGTAATCCATACTGCACACTCTAGTCTTTAATCTTCATCAGTAAGTGCTTCAAGTCATCCTCACTTTCAGCAAGCAAAGTTGTGTCGTCTGCATATTGCAGGTTGCTATTGAGTCTTTCTCCAATCCTGATGCCATGTTCTTCATATAGTCTAGCTTCTAGGATTATTTGCTCAGCATACACATTGAGTAAGTACAACCCTAATGCACTCCCTTCCTGATTTTAAACCATGCAGTATCCCCTTTTCTGTTCGAATGACAGCCTCCTGATCCATGCATAGGTTCCTCATGAGCAAAATTAAGCATTTTGGAATTCCCGTTCTTCTCAATGTCATCCATAATTTGTTATAATCCACACAGTCAAATGCTTTTGCATAGTCAATCAAACACAAGCAAACATTTTTCTGGTATTCTTTGCTTTCAGCCAAGATCCATTTGACATCAGCAATGATATCCTTCATTTTATGTCCTTTTCTGAATCCAGCTTGCATTTCTGGACATTCTCTGTCAATATACTGCTGCAACAATTTTTGAATTATCCTCAGTAAGATTTTACTTGCATGTGATAATAATGATATTGTTCGATAATTTCCACACTCTGTGGGGTCACCTTTCTTTGGAATGAGTACAAATATGGACTCTTCCAGTCAGTTGGCACCTTCAGTAAGTCATTCATTTCTTAAAACAGCTCAGTAGGTGTTCCGTCAATTACTGAAGCTTTGTTCTTTGCCAATTCTTTCAGTGCAGCTTCAACTTCTTCCTTAAATACTAACAATTCTTCATCACATGCCACCTCCTGAAATGGATGAGCATAGACCAATTCTTTTTGGTACAGTGTGACTCTGTGTATTCCTTCAATCTTCTTCTGATGTTTCCCGCATCATTCAATATTTTGCCCATAGAATCTTTGCAACTCGAGGCTTGAATTTTTTTCTTCAGTTATTTCTGCTTGAGAAATGCCAAGCATGTTCTTCTCTTTCGGATTTCTAACTTCAGATCTCTGCACATTTCATTACAATAATTGACTTCATCTTCTCGAGCTGCTCTTTGAGATCTTCTCCTCAGCTCTTTTATCTTGTCATTTCTCCCATTTGGTTTAGCTACTGTTTGTTTAAGGGAAAGTTTCAGAGTCTCTTCTGACATCCATTTTGGTCTTTTCCTTTCTTGTCTTCTTAATGATCTTTTGCTTTCTTCATGGATGATTTTCTTGATGTGATCCCATAATTTCTTTGGTTTTCGGTCACTGGTGTTCAATGTATCAAATCTATTCTTTAGATGGTCTCTAAATTCAGGAGGGACATATTCAAGATCATATTTTGGCTCTCGTGGACTTGTTTAACTGTCTTTAACTTCAAGTTGAACTTGCATATGAGCAGTTGATGGTGTGTTCCACAATCAGCTCCTGGCCTTGTTTTGGCTGAAGATACTGAGCTTCTTCATTGCCTTTTGCCACAGATGTAGTCAATCTGATTCCTGTGTATTCCATCTGGTGAAGTCCACATGTATAGCCACCGTTTATGTTATTGAGAAAAGGTATTTGCAATGAATAAGTCATTGGTCTTGCAAAATTCTATCATGCAATCTCCAGCATCACCTCTATCATCAAGGCCATATTTTCCAACTACCAGTGATTCTTCTTTGTTTCCAACTTTTGCATTTCAATCAATCAGTGATACTCAAGACATTTTAATTGCATGTTTGGTCAATTTCAGACTGCAGAAGTTGGTAAAAATCTACAATTTCCTCATCTTTAGCTTTGGTGGTTGGTGTGTGAATTTGAATAATAGTAGTATTAACTGGTCTTGCTTGTATGTGTATGGATATTAGCCTATCATTAACAGTACTGTACTTCGGGATAGATCTTGAAACATTCTTTGTGATGTTGGACACCACACCATTCTTCTTCAATTTGTCATTCCTGGTGTAGTAGATCATATGGTTGTCTGACTCAAAATGGCCAAAATCAGTCCATTTTAGCCTAGGATATCATTTTTTATGCATTCCATTTCATTTTTGACAACTTCCAGTTTTCCTAGATTCATATTTCATACATTCCATGTTCTAAATATTAATGGATATTTGCAGCTGTTTCTTCTCATTTTGAGTTGTGCCACATCAGCAAATGGAAGTCCTGAAAGCTTTACTCCATCCACATCATTAAGGGCAACTTTAGTCTGAAGCAGCTCTTCCCTAGCTATACTTTGAGTGCTTTTTGACCTGAGGTGCTCATCTTCTGGCACTATGTTGGACAATGCTTCAGAGCTATTCATGAAGTTTTCCAGTAATATATCAGACAGTGTTTTACTGCTATTCATAAGGTTTTCACTAGCTAATCCTTTGAGAAGTGGATGGGCCCTTCCTTCTTCCCAGTATGACAGTAGGTCTCAATATAAAAGTACTAAAAGATTGCGAGCACTATATAAACCTTAAATCCTAGCAATGTGATGGAAATCTACCATAATGCACATGAAGAATACTACTTTTAAAGCTGAGGGGCTATTAAATGGGTGGTATTATGAGACCTCTGCCTGTATAGTAGGAGCCCTGATAATGCAGTGGTTAAGTGTGCAGCTGCTAACTGAAATGTTGGCAGTTCAAACCCACAGGCCAGTCCATGGGAGAAATATATGGCAGTCTGCTTCCGTAAAGATTACTGTCTAGGAAACTCTATGGGGCAGTTCTACTCTGTCCTATAGGGTTGCTATGAGTCGGAATCAACTCAATAGCAATAGGTTTTACTTTTGGTAAAATAGGGTAGTAGAGGATTGAACTATAGGACTTAGGGTCTACCTTGGTTATGTGGTCTTAGGTAAATATTTTAACCCATCTGAAAACCAAGACAGCGTTAGGGATTACAGAAGCAAACCAAACTCACTGCCATTGAGTCAATTCTGACTCATAGTGACTCCTGTTGGGTTTCTGAGGGAGTAAATCTTTACAGAAGTAGATTGCCTCATCATTTTCCTTCTGCAGAGCAGCTGATGGGTTTGAACCACCAACCTTTTGGTTAGCAGTCAAATGCCTTAGGCACCACGCCAATTACTACTCTCTTAAATATTTTAGGCAGATTCTTAACACATCTAAACATCCATTTCCTTATACTACCCTTGAAAAACAGATACATAAATACTACTCTAGAGATTTTGATTTTGAAGATCTCGGGTGAGGAAACTTTATTTAGAAAGTTACCCAGCTAATTCTGATGCACATTCAGGTATGGAAGCCATGAACTCTATGCTGTTTAAGGCTCCTTCCTGCTCTGACACGGTTTCATTGCAAATCCCTAAGTATCAGGGATTACTGCTCTTTGCATGTAGCTTTTCTAGCCTTGGCGAGCTTCCTAGGACAGATTATTTTAACCCACAGAAACATTTCTATGGTGCTATTCTTTGGAGAAGCAGCAGGCACATAAAACTTTGTTAAAAAGTACATCAACCAATAAATAAAAACCGTGTTGTACTGAATTGGGATCGAAAGCACCACTATGAATTCAAGACATATTTTATCCTTAAAAAAAATCATAATTTCTAGCTCTAGCCACAAAAAGACTAAAATATAACGACTAACCAAGTAGTGATAATTGTATTGAGTGCCCAGATATGCTTGCTAAATACCATTTCCTATTAAAATCAGCCAATAAAAACCCCATTGTTCACAACAGAACACTGTACAATCCACAAGCATGAGGAGGTACAGAACCAACCAGGAGCATATTGTTCTGTTGTGCATGGGACAGGGCCACCATGAGTATAGGGGGCTGACTTCACTGAAGCTAACAACAACTAAAGTAACCAAGGATCCACAGAGCCAAGACAGCACATGCATGTGATGAGCCTGGAGCATCCTGTCATGCCAGAAGGCCAGACAACTATCAAAGACACTGGGGTCATGGTAATAGGAGTCGGAAACCAACTTGAAAGGGTTCCCATTTGTGCCAGATAAGATAATTGAGACAGTAACAATGATAATAACTTCAACTGACTGAAACACACACACACACACAAAACCAATTGCCATTGAGTTGATTCAGACTCATCACAATGCCCATTGGGTTTCCAAGGTGGTAAATCTTTACAAAACTAGATTGCCCCATCTTCGTTCTGTGGAGTGGCTGGTGGGTTTGAACCACCAACCTTTTGGTTAGCAGTCAAATGCCTCAGGCACTGTGTCAGCAGAGCTTCTTGACTGAAATACAGATATGTTTAAATACATGATTTTATAATGAGACACACACACCAAAAACTGCTAAAGGGAATTAAGTATCCTGCCTCTTCTACATAAATGGAATAACTTTAAGGGAATCAAATAGCTGATGATGCAAGTTTCTCTTTATGTAAGTATTCTGCTAATAAATGAAGAAGGAAAGATAGAATTAGTGTATCAATCATTTAGTATCCTCCAATGAATCAAAGGACCTTGGTAATAATCCTCAATGGCTGCTAACATCCAAAAAAGAGACGAGTGCTAAAAACTTGCTAAAACATTGCCAATATTGCTAAAACAAATTGAAGTGGAATCTGATCAAACTCCTCACTACCAAATTATAGGAAATACAGGGGCAATGGAACATGTGAAATGATATCACAGGGTACGGTAGGCAGGACAATGACCTCCCTCCTCCCCCCCTCAAAAATAAAAGATGCTCATCCCTGGAAACTGTGAATATGCTAGATAACATAGCAAAGATAAATTAAGGCTACAGATATAATTAAGATTGTTAATCAGCTGATCTTAAACTAAGGAGATTATCCTAGATTGGCCAGCTGGGCCTAATGTAATCACAAAGGTCCTAAGAAAAAGGAGACAAGACTCAGAGTTAGAGAACTGAGAGGCAGAGAGAAACTTGACTACAGAAGAAGGCGGAGTGAAGCAGTGTAAGAAGTACTTGGCCTAATGTTCCTGGCCTTGGAGACAGAAGGAGGCCATGAGCCGAGGAATGCAGGCCTTTAAAAGTTAGAAAAGCAAACAAATTGATTCTTTCCTAGAGCCTCCAGAAAGGAACCTGCCAATATCCTGATTTTAGCCCAGTGAGACCTGCTTCAGACACCTCACCTTTCAAATTGTAAGATAATTGTGTTATTTTAAACCACTAAATTTCTGGTAATTCCTTACAGCAGCAACAGCAAACTAATACATTGAGTTATAATCAGCAAAATCTAAACTATGGACAATGTGACAAAGCAAATGACCTGGTTTCTTTGGTAAATAAAATTCAAGAAAAGAAAGAGCATGAGAGAGTGAGAGAAGAAAACAGTAACATGCCAACCAACTACAACATATTGATCTTACTTGGATTCTGATTTGAATGAACAAACAGTAAAATTAAAAAAAAAAAAATTAAATATGCACAACATACACATGAGACAATGGGAGAAATCTGAAAACTGACTATATAGCATTAAAACATTACTAAGATTTTAGGGTTGGTAATGACATGGTAGTTATGTTTCCTATTACAGTATTATTTAGACAGGCATACAGTGATATTTATAGGTAAAATGATATCTGGGATTTGCTTCAAAACAATCTGGGAGTGGCAGCTGGGTTGCAGTGGAGAGTGTGTGGGCCATAAATGAAATGGAATTCATTATAAATTGATAAATGCTAAAGCTGGGGGATCGTCACTGGCAGGAAATTGTGGTTTGGTTCCCACACATTCTAATCCTCCCTTTCTAGCTATATAGTGTAGGGGTTAAAAAAGTTTCTAGGGGAGAGACCACCAGTGTTTAAATACCAGTTCATTAATCACTGTGTGACCTTGAGAAAGTTCCTTCACCTCTCCCTCTCTGTGACTCATTTCCCTCTTTTGTAAGATGAGTTTAATATGGGTTTCTTTCTTTTAGGGTTATACAAGGATTAAGTGGGGGTGATGTACATAAAGCACTTAAGGATTCCTGGCAGAGAATAAGCCAGGTTAGTTATAAACATTATTATTATACTTACTATTGGTGAGGTATTCAATTTTGGGAGGCCTCTCCCTCCTCATTTATAAATGAGGATATCTGTAATTGAACCTTCTCTTTTATGGAGTGATGGCAATGATAAAATAGCCATAGATACAAAATTAGTATAAAGAAATTAAGAACTCTAAGGCATTCTTCTCCTCTCTGTAACTATTGGAAGTGGCGGAAATGAATACAAATTTAGCAATCCCAAAGCATTTATTCTTATCTGGAATGAATGTACACTGGGGGAAAACAGCCTTGCATAGACTTGAATAACATTCACGACTCTACTGTTTTAAATAGTTTTCTATAAAGCTCTATACATCTTGAAAATGGTGGCCTGTGTACAACCACAATTTTATTTAGAAACAGAAACAGTAGGACATGGTATCTATTTTCAGAAAGATGAAGACAAAGTCTTATCCCTTCTGCAAACTAAATGTCAAGTAAGACAGAATTATATTTAAGCACCATTCTAAATGCAGGATTTGTGTTTAATCTTTTCTCTCTCTTTGGGAAGTACAATTTTATTCAAAAGCTTCAAACCAGTGAAAACCAGATACTGAATAACTTCTAAATGTTTTAAGTCTCCTAGGGGGAAGTGGTGAACAAAAGTCAGATTCTATTAAAATGCCCCCTTCCTTTCCAAAAGCTGTTTATGCAACCACATACCACATACAAGACAAAAATTTGAATGCCACCATCTAAAAATAAAACTTTCAAGCATGATATTCGGTTCTAGTTCACAAGAGAAAAAGTTAAATCCACCATAGCTGCTACTTTATTTTACAAATGCCTTTTCCTAGATTTTATGCTAAATATTTTAAATATAGCTGACAGTGTGCTTCAAGAAGGAGAAACAAATTATACATATAACAAGATGTCAAAAAGGAATAAAAGCATCTCGAAAATAAAATTCCAATAGCAAAGACAGCTCTGAACCTCTCAAAATAGCTTAAAGAAACTTGGAGCAAATCTATTTCATCAGATGTTTTAAAGAATAGAGAAGAATTTATCTGGGGGGAAAATCCAGACCTGAATCTAAATATTCAATGAAAACCAAAGTTGTAGCTGGCATCACTTTTTCTTCAGGATTAGCCAGCAGTTACACCCTTGCTGAGTTTGAGGTATTTTAACTCTCCTTCTTCCTTCTCCCCTTCCCCAATTTATCTTTTCTGTTCATCCTGAGCTATCAATCAAGCCTCTTAGACCTTGAACTTGTTACAACTGGCAGTTTGCCAGGAAGTTCCTAGTCTATTTCAGGTCAACAAGCTATACCTTTCTTTGTTCATTAGTTTCTCAGGAAGTGTTTTTGTTGTTGTTCTTTTTTTTTTTTTTTTTTAAATGAAACTTCTTCCTTTCTATATTTTTCCTTCTGCTTGTTTTTCTAGACAATATGTAACTTTTTCTCATCAAGTAACCCCACTGAGGCCCTTACCTCATGCTTGTCAGGAGCAATGAAGTTCAGTTGGCAGTTTGAGTCATACAAGATGGAGAAAGCAAGTTCAAGCACCTCCTACAAGAGATTAAGGAGAATATCACATTTAGGGAAAATTGGTACACGTGTTTCACGGTTACAAATGGCTGGAGACTACACATGGAGCAGTACCATGACACGTACAGATGAGAGGAGCATCAATTAGGCTGCCTGGAGGGAGGGGCCATGCTTTTCAGGGGTCACAACACAATTGCTTCTCTCAATTCAAGGGAGGTGCTCTGCATGAACCATTCCTTTTAATCCTCATGACAGCCCACATAGCAAGTATTAGCACTCCCCTTTTATGTGGAGAAGGAGCTCTGGTAGCACAGGGTCTAAGGCATCTGACTGCTAACCAGAAGGTTGGTGGTTCAAATCATCCACACCATGGAAGCAAGACTTGGCAATCTACTTCCATAAAGATTTACTGCCTCCGAAACCCAATGGGGTTTTGCTATGAGTTAGGATTGACTCAATCACAGTGGGTTTGTTTTTTTTTTTAATGTAGAGAGGCTAAGCAAGGTTACTTGAGCTCTATAAGGCCTCACAGCTCTAAAGCTGTGTGATTTTCCCTCTCTTCAGCAGCTCCTTTCTAGGGAGACCATGACAAACAGTAAAGCCTTTCCCAGTCAGAAGTTGTTGGTATTTCAGTAGCAGAATTCTCATTCTCCATGAGGAAGACCCAGGTTTGATCCCCAGCTAATGCACTTCATGTTCAGTTACCACCTGTCTCTCAGTGGAAGTTTGCTTACTGCTATCATACTGAGCAAGATTTGGTGGAGCTTCCAAACTAAGATGGACTAGGAAGAAAAACATGGCAATCTACTTCTGAAAATAGCCAGTGGAAACTCCCATGGATCATCTAGCCTTTTGTCCTGTTGTACAAGGGGTTGCCATGAGTTGGGGATTAACTCAATGGCAAACAGACAGATAACCCCAAGGGTGTAAACTTTCTAAAACATGGAAGGTACATGGGAAGTGATGAGGCTTTGGGGTGAATCCATTATCTTTAGGGAGATTTCCAGGCCTTTCTTCTTAGTTCCTCTTAGTTTGGAAGCTTCACTGAATCCTGTACAAGAGCAGAGCAAACATGCAAACTTCCGCTGACAGATAGGTGGCTAAACATGAGATACACTGGCTGGGATTCAAACCTGGGTCTCCCACATGGAAATGATAACTCTACTGCTGAAGACTAAATGACCTCGTAGGTGATAAGTTTGTCCTGGATCTTTGACCTACTGTGGAGCAAAGGAGGCAAAAACCTAGATTTTATCCTATAAAGGCTGCAAAATATAACAGGGAAGCATGGACTCAAGTGCCAGAATTCCAGGGTTCATTCATTGAGTGCAGAATTATAAGCAAGTCCCAAAGGGCTAGGTGACATTGTAGCTCAGTGATCTTAGCCAAGGCACTCAGCATCTTCTCTAATTTGTATATTAAAATGCACTTCTCCAATTGTATGCACTATATCAATATTAGCAGTTCTGGTGGTGTAGTGGTTAAGACATTTGACTGCTAACCAAAAGGCTGGTGATTCAAACCCAATAGCCACTCAATGGAAGAAAAAGGGGGGGGGGATCTGCTTTTGTACAGATTTACAGCCTTGGAGACCCAATGGGGGTCACTATGAGTTGGAATTGACTCAATGGCAGTGAGTGAGTATCAATGATACAATGATCATTCTTCCACTGGTCTGGGGAGTCAGCAAAGATAATCTTTGAACAATGAGAGCTGTAAGTACAGCTCAGCTCAACATTAAAAAAAAAAAAAAAAAAAAAGCCAATCCAGTTGATGCTGATTCATAGTGACCCATGTGTTTGCTAGAGAGTAGAACTGTGCTCCATACAGTTTTTGAGGCTGTGACCTTTTGGAAGCAAACTGCCAAGCCTTTGTTCTGAGATACCTCCAAGTGGGAACCACCAACCTTTTGGTTCGTAGGTGAGTACTTAAAGGTTTGTGCCACTGAAGGTCTCCTTTCATCACTCTAATCATTTCTCCTTTCGAAGAGAAAGGTCAAGCGTATTCGCCTCAGTGCTCTCCATCATGATAATGCACATGTTCTAGCCTGCTTTCCTTCTCTGTGCCTTAATTAGGCATTAGTGGTGTTCATCCCCTCCTTCCTGCCATGTACTGCGAATGGCAGTATTCAGTAACTGCCCATGAAGCACTCTTTGTTCGGGATGTGGATTTCTCCACATCATTCTTTTCCTTAATATCTGTCAGAGTTTTGGCTTTGGCCAGTGACTCAAAGCAAGAATGCTCCAGAAAGAGGATGGGAAGCAAAACGACAAGGTCAATGCTGCCAGATTTCAGAATTTCAGATGGGTTAAAGAATTCTTCCAAAGTAAACTTGGAAGACACAGCATTAGTTGGATGCCTCACTCGACACTGTCAACCATCAAGCTATTTCTGGCTCTCATGAGGTTCGTCTATGTCTGGCTCACCTCCAGCTATCTCTTCATTAAGAGGGAGCAGCTTTTGTTCTGAGGCTCCATCTACCACTATCTCACAGTCTTGCGGCCTCCTTGCCCTGCCAGAAATAGAAACAAGGCATGCAAGAATGTTGAGTCATGGAGTAGGCGCTCTGCAAAAATACCCTTCTCAATCATTTTTCCTCCTTGAGCCTTCATTCAAGCATTACCCAGTGAAGATGGTGTTTAGGTTACCTCTTGTGCCACTCTAACAGACATATACCACAAATAGAATGGTTCGAACAGAGATATATTCTCTTACAATTTCAGAGGCTAGAAGTCCAAGTTCAAAGTGCCAGGCTCTAGGGACTGGGTGAAAGCCCCTTAATCTTGGGCTTCAGCTCTGTCTCCTGATCCCAGCCCACTGAAGCTGGAGACTTTTCTTCACTCAGGCAGCTGCTGGCTGCTGAGGTTGACAAACCCAAGGTTGACAAGTAAAAAGCCACAGTCCCAATATTACCAAACAACATGGCAGGCCATTGATTCAAGTCCATTAAGAGTCCCAAGATCAGCAGACAACATGGCAGACTGCTGAATAACGACTCAGCTACATGCAGGATTCAAGCATGCCAAAAGCTGCAGACCATTCCTACATCTTCTCCTTACATACTAGAAGCAGACCACATCCCTAAGGCAACTGTTACTCAGCTGCTCACAGTAGATTCCACCATGGACTGGATTACCAGTCTCATCATAGGTAATAACTACACTCAGCTGCCCAGACACTCACAACCAGGCCCAGTCAAGTTGACACATAACCTTAACTACCACAAAAGGCTAATGTAAAAAAAGGGAGATACCAACACACACACACACACACACCTTTTCCATTAAGTTTAGCATCTGTGTCTGCAATCATCTATTTTGGGTCTTCTAATTAATAAATGAAATTTGTTGTTGTTGTAGTGTTTGCTGTCCAGTCAGACCTGACTCATAGCAACTCCTCCTTGGGTTTCTGAAGCGGTATCATAGAGAAGTAGATTGCCCAACCTTCCTTCCGAGGAGTGGACTGCCAGCCTTCTGGTTAGCAGTCATGTGCCTTAGGCACTATGCCACCAGAGCTCCCTAGCATTGAAACAGTCATACA